CTCCGCTCAGTCGTACTTTCGGTCTGCCTTGGCAGCGACTTGGCCTTGTGCCAGAAATTCTTTGTATTTTTTGTATTTTTTTTCTATATTGTTTTGTTATCGCTTTTGCAGGTTTTTGTTTTCATACTGCTCGATGCCCGATGCTAGATAGCAAGATGATGGTGGGAGCGTAACGAGTCAGGCATAGTTTTGGTTTAGGCCGTTATGCATATTTGGCATTTGTGTGCCGCCTTTTGTTGCTTCGTTTGTATGCCAAAAATGCGGCTCATATGTTGTCAATTGTTGATGATGTGGGAATTAGGTACAAATCGAGAACAGGTGCTGCAGCAGCAGGTGTTCCGGTGAGGCTTTAAGCCTGTGCTTGTGGCCAAAATTCAATAAACTCTGTGTAATTGCTAAAGTTAGTTTCTGGTATAACAATTGTTGTGCTCAAATTGTTTTGCAGTTTTGGTTTATGACTGAAGTTTTTACCATTTATTCCATTTTCATATACTAATTCAATTTCCTTTCTCTTTTGCAGGTAAGTTTCGCCAAGTTTAAAATGTCCTTTTTGCATCTCATGGGTAAGTTTTCATTCCATTTCTTTCACACTTCTGAGAGCATAGCTGAGATATTCACATATAAATTTAAATTAAAGCTGAAAGTTTCTTTGTTATCTACGCCAAGCGCCTGCACAATCAATACGCATTGGGTATATTTTGTGTGGAGCATAATTAATGGTTCTTTTGGTTTGCATTCGCAAGTAGAAAACTTTTTCTATCTCTCAGCATCTCTGAGAAGATTGCATTTTTTGCTGTCGCTCGAGTCGAGTCCAGGCTCGAGTTCATTACAATTGACATTTGATTTAAAACGCACTGTGCAAGCAGTTTGACAGAGACGAAGAGACAGACTCACACAATAATATCCTGTCTGAGCAGTTGCAAGTGAGCTGCTAAGCCGAGAGGGACACACAACAGAGCCAGGAGCAAAGGCTAACCGCTGTCCACAAATAAAAAGCTCAGGCCGCAAACATTGCGGTAAACAAAAGACAACTGCAAAGTTCATAGGGACACATGTTTATCAATGTCCCAAACAAAACAGAAAAAAATTCAGAAAATAGAAATGCCAAAAAGCAGAAGAAGCAGGAAAAAAGAAAAAATTGCCAGCTAAGAAACGGGAAGGCAGGCGAGCTTTGCACACGCAGACGTCAGACATTTTTGGGCTTAAAGTCGGCTACGTCGACTTGCAGACAGCGTGGCAGACGAGCCGAGGGGCTGGTGGTCGGCCATATATTTAGGCAGGATATTGATTGATTTATTGCATGCAGGAGACCGGAGAGACCGCCTAGGCGTCGTCCGCCACACAATGAATGTCACAAATGGGCGGAAAGAGGCTCGTGGCTTATGGCTCGTGGCTTTTGTAGGCGTTCCAAACATTTCAGAGTTATTAAATGAAGCGAGCTTCAAGTGAGTGCAGTAGAAGAGGCAAATGCTTGGGATACTTAAAGTTCTTAAATACAATTTTAGTTTATTTTTCTGGCTAAAAGCACTTCATTCGAACATTTGCCAGATAAAACTTTGCCTTTTCTGCACAATAAACAACAATAAACTTTATGCTGCCGAGAATAGTTTTTGTCTTTTTTTGTGTGAAGTCAGCAAATGAAACGATCGAACGTTGGCGACTTGTCACAGCATTTCCTAACCGAACCGCTGACCACAAGCCAATGCCCGCCCCCTCCAGTGGGCGCAGTGGCAAGTGGCAAGTGGCAAGTGGCAATATGTGAAATAAAATGTTTATCGTGTCGCTGTGGCTGCAACATATACTTGATGCTCGCCAGCTCGCAGCCAACTTGTTGTGTCGCCAGCGTGTCAATAATTTTTAGCAAGCTTTCTGTTTATTTGGCCAGCGGCAGGCGAACAGAATGAAACTTTTGAGTCTCGCACTAAACCAAATCAATTGACAATCGTTAACAGGCGCCGCAATCCAGTTAAGTTCTCAGTTTAAGAGACGTTAAAGCTCGACGACTCTGGCGCTGGCAACTACAAATGGCTAGGCCATTTGCTCTGACTGCAATTGATTGGCCATGGCCAATTTAGGGGTGGCTACGTAAGCCCGCTCATTTATTTATTTATAAACAAAGCACAGATGACACCGGGACTGGCAGCAGGAGCTGGGGCAGTCAGACAGTCAGACAGTCAGGCAGGCGACACACACAAGTCTTACAAATTTGCAGGCAAATGCGAGAAACAAGCCAGAGAATACTAGACTCGTCTATATGTGGCGGCCGCACATGGCAGTGACTAATTAATTTTACACCGTTTATCGTGCGTTTCTCGCGCGCTCAGCTTAAGCCATACAAATCAATCACGGGCAGAGGTGGAGCCGGGCATCTGCGCGGAGCAGGGCATGCCCTTGCTTGCCTGCTTGGCCAATTAGCAAAGCATACAATGTACACACATGCACTTTGCATGGCGCCAGCAGGACCGACCAGAGCCAGCACAGACCCAGCTACAGTTGTATATATTTATATATACATTTATATACATGTGTGTGTGTGCACTTAAGATAGATGAATGAAGTGGCAAACATGGCGGACAGTTTGGATTTCAGTTACAGTTACAGCTACAGTCGCCGCCGCTTTGACCAGTTCGAGGCGTTGACTGTCCGCTGACATTTACAAATCAGCGCCAATTATTTATGGAGCTCAGTGGCGCTGCGCAGCTGAGGCGATCGAAGACTGCAAGCGTATTTAATTAAATTTTCCTTTTGCATATCCCCAAAAGTTGAGAGAGCACGCACGGGTGTCATCAGCATCAAGTTGGCCACTTAATAAGCAGTAAGAGACCGTTCGAAACTTGGACCCCAAGAAATATGATGCGCAAAGTTCAGCAGTTAAAAATGAAATGTTGCAAAAAATGCAAATAAAAATTGGTATGATAAACTCTAAAGTTGAGTGCCTGAAAATGCCTGCCACAGACTGTGGTTATGACTGCGCGAGAGGCTGTAAAAGTGGCTCAAAAGTTGCCTCTAGTGGAGCAGGAGTGGCTCCAGCTCAAGTTGTGTGTACAGTGGAGACTCAAGAGTGGCGACTGGAGGGAGCTAAGTTGGGCACGAGTGCGAGTAGGTAAGTTAAGGTTCCGCCTGCTGCCTGACAGCCAGTTTAATGGCAGCCGCCCAGCATATAGCTCAGCAGACAGTCACTCAGCATAAATAGTAGAAGGCAAATGGCAGAGCTGACGCTTTTCCTTCATGAGGGCCACCCCTTTGCCACCCGCCGCAAAGCGTTTAAAATGTGTCTGTGGCTGTTAAAAAGGAAAAACGGCAAGAAAATTACGAAGAGCAGCCAGAAAAAATGCAATAGCAATAGCGAGTGATACCGTAAAGAGTGTGTGTGTGTGTGTGTCGAGGTGCAGCGGGCAGCGGGCGCGTGAGTGAGTGCAAATAAAATAGAAAACCAAGGCAATTTTTCAGCTTCATTAAGTAACCGCAAAGTTTGTTTTATGTGCGGTCAGCTACAAGCCAAGCCAAGCCACGGCAAGCCACGCCACGTCAAGCCAGCATAGCAGCCAGCACAAGCGACTGTAGAAGCCGATAAACATATGAGCTTAAAAAGTTTGAAATAAAAAACTTTCTACCCCACCGCCCATCTGCACAAAGTCAACCATATATTAAGTATACGTCAGTAAATTAGCAAGACACAAACTTATGGCAAATTATTAGACATATTTTCAAAAGAGACTTAAGATCGGCGATACTTTATACCTTTGCAGAGCTCCACTTCAAGAGACTTGCTCATATAAAGCTGGCATAATCAATTTCAATATTAATTCTTACATTATATCTAATTTCCAAGACTAACATTAAGAGACAGCAACTGCTGTCCAGGCACTTAAGCAGACAAGTATTTAGTATACGCAAAATTATGTTTGGTATAAATTATGAACCGAATCATTGCTTAAGGCACTGCCAAACAGACTTTGCTAATAAACCTATAAAGCACACTCACACAGTCAAATATAGAAGGCGAAGCTGTGCCAAAACTGTTTGCCATGGACATTGACAAATACCCAAAGTCCCGTTTGGGTGGCTCTGCACAGCAGATTGGCTGCATTTTGTGTTAAATCAGCAACAATTGTTGCCCAATCCCCAAATTGAGACGCTGCAGCTATCACTTTGGGGTTTTCACATTGCAATTGAAGTTGAAGTTTGAGTTTGGGCCCGAGCTGCTTAACTTAGCTGGGGCTTGGCTTTGGCTTTGGCTTTGGCTCTGGCTTCGGCTTCAGCTTTGGCCAGCAGCCAGGCAAAGAGGAAATTAAAATTTATATAGCATACAAAACGCGGTAGCAGCAGCTGCTGCTGCTGCAAGGCTCACTGAGGCATTTTGCTATTTAGCATGTTTCTTAGCCAGCTCGAAATCTTCGTTTCTGGTTTCAGTTGCCAAAGCGGAAAGCGTGGCTGCCATTAAGCTGCCAATCGACCATTTGTCAGCTTCGATTGCGGCAATAGAATCGCATGGAAAAGAGAAAAAAATGGAGAAGAAAAAAAGACAAAAAGGTTTCTGCTGCTGCTGCCAAGTTGTTGCCAATGGCTTTGAATTGGGTTAAGTGATTTGGCGTTCAATCAATGCCCCACGCCCAACGGGGCGTGCATAATTATGGCCTGTGCCGGAGCTCTATTTGTTTATGCTTGGCATGTTACACATACGCCATGTGGTCGCCCGAATTGCAACGCTAATAAACAGTTGTGGGCCTCGTTTCCATTATGCCATTCATTATCTTTCGCCGATCAGCGAATGGATTTCAGCACTGGGAATTGTTCTGATAGCAGCCTTTCATTCCGTTGTTCTCGTTCTCCCACTGCGCGCCCGTCTCCGTTTGCCATTTAAATCAATTATGCGTTTTTGGCCTAAAACATGCAATTAAGTGCGCTGCAGCATGCATTGAAAATGAGTCTGTGAAACGTTGGTTGCAAATTTAATCAACTGAACAAATGATTTGAATGCTTTGAAGTATTTCTGGCTGATTTTAAAGCATAGCCATCGATCGATGCCAGCTCTTGTTATGTAATATTCTGAACTTTTGGACCATATACATCAAAGCAAAACAGATTTAAATTCGTGCAAAATGAATATAATTTGTTGTGCATTTCCGCCTGAAATGAGTATTTAACAAGCTTTATTAATCATTAGTAATTTCCCTCTGGGCCTTCCATTCAGCGACGCGAGCCTGTAGGGTGACTAAACGCTCATTCAACTCGGCTGTTACATTGGCTATTTCCTCCGACCTGGTCGGCTTCTTTGGCATTACGTAGACGGTCTTAATGAAGTTCAGCTTCCTTCGTATGGCCGGCCGTTCAATTTTGATCGTGCGTGGCGCTGATGGAAGCTTGTTTCTTTGCGGAATTTTCAACATGTTTGCAGCCGTATAAAAATAAGTAATCGAAAATAATAAAAAAAATATGCAACTTGTACCGATGTAATGGAATTTTATTCAATCTTAGATTTTATTCGAATAGACTACTTAATACGATATAATTGACATAATTCTCATGCGATTTACAATCAAAATATGCTAATTAAAGTGAGGCCTGCTCGACTAATTCGAATGGGACTAATTATCAGCTCTTCCGTTGCCTATTAACTGTCATTTACCAGAGTCAAAGTCGCCTCTGCCTTCTGCTGGCCATTTCATTAGCCAGGCAAGGCCTCTCTGCTTTGCATTTGGATTGCCCTTTGGCCGGGCCAAGGACTTTGGTCTTTGTAATTCGCTCATGTGCAATGCTTTAAATACCACAAATGGAATTTTTAATTGTCTGCTAAGCAAACCAACTCAGCTCACACAGCTCAGTTTACGTGACCGGCTCTGTCGACATATTTATAATTTCTTTAATGTGGCACAGGCAACAAAAAGCAAAGAAAAAAATAGAGAAATGAGCAGCAACCGCCTCGTAGTCTCTGTAGTCTCAGTCGGCCCAGTGACAACCCGTTACAAAAGCTTTCACTGCTTAGCGCACTTGAGTTACTTTATTATGTAAGCGCCAGATCCCAGGACAGCTTGCCCGCCTCTGTCCCGGGCTGGCTCAACCCACTTGGCATAAAAAGGTGAACTTCAGTGTCATTTGTTTGCAGCCGCCGTCGTTCGAGTTGTCGGTTTGCAACTGAACTTTGCTCTTTCTGCCTCTCCTGCAGCTCCTGTGGGGACAACTTAAGTTATCTTTATGCTTCAAAAGGCCTACGCCGAGTCGGACGACTGACGACTGTCTGGCATACAGTCAGACAAGCTGTTGAACACAGCCCCAGCCATGGTTGGAATTGCAGTGCAGTGAGCTGCCTTCGCCTCCATCTCTGCCTCTGCTTCTCCCTCTCTCGCTCACTCTTTCTCTCTCTTCCTTTGGCTCGTCCCGCTGGGGTCTGCAGTCTCCCGCCTTTTTCATATTTCAATTGAAATGCGCAGCAGCACAATTAAAAATCAAGCCAAGTGATGCGTGCCAGTGCCATGGCAAGTGTTTGCCGAGTGTTTGTTGTTTAAAATGAAGCGCCATAAATGGACAAGTTGTTGGGCCTTTACCGAGTGTGCCTTGAGGCAGCACATGGCCCAGTCAACAGTCAACACTGAACACTGAACAGTGAACAGTGAACAGTCCATGCTGTACTGTGTCCTGCTCCGTTGTGCTCTTGTCTCGTGTCGCTTGAGGGCAGACTTTTGTTGGTTTTTATGTGTCCCACTCGTTACTGTTCTTTAAGCATTTGCTTAGCTGGGCAATATTTTTGGCTTTTGTCATCAGTGTGTTTTGTTTGCCCGGCCACGCCTATGGTTTTATGATTTCTCTGCTTCTGCTTCTCCTTTTTTTTGCTGCTGGGAAGTGCATAATTTATTATTCACAGAGCTGTTGATTTGCACAATGGGAAGAAATATTATAAAGAGCGGACAATTAGCAAGAATATGCCAAGGGATATATACATAAATAATTCCCAACAATGTGTGATAATTTAATTAAATATTTAAAAATTATAGAAGTTGTAGAAGAAGAAAGAAGTTCTCTTTGAGAAGGGATCAGAGTTTGATAGAAAATTAGGAAAGTCTGTTTCAGCTTATGGTTTTATTAATAGTTCAATTTATAGCAAATCCCATTGTGGCTTGTCACATTTTCATTGGATTGCGGCCTGAAACTAATTTAAATACGCCTATGCCTATTCTACGAAATCTCTCGCTTCTCGCCTGACAGTTACAGAGCCTTGTCATTGGCACAGAACGTGGCGTATGCTCAACATGCCAGTAAATGAAAATGAATGAATGTGAATGTGAATGCGAATGCGAATGCGAATGCGACATGTTTTTACTACTCTTCATGCTTTCTGCTCGAAACTATGCTCAGCGAACGGAGAGCCAACTGGGAGAGGGAAAAAAATAACACAATCGAATTTTTGCCAGATGAATTTTGTAGATGCCAACTCTTTTTGCAGAGTCCATTCTATCGTGCATGCCCCTTCAGCCAGTGTCTCTTTCGGCAAAATCAGTGAGGCGTGTTTTTGACATTTAACAAGCTATGCGGCCAGTTGGCTCGAGCCGGAGCGATGCTTGTGCAAATGCTTTTAATTAAAAAATATTTGCAGCCAAACTTTGCATAATTTCGACTCAATAGTTTTTAGGCAGGCAGCTGTTTTCTGCCACTGCGAGTGAAAGAGAAAGATGGAGAGAGGGAGAGCTAGAGAAATGGGAGTGGAAGCGAGATGGGCAGCTTAGTAGCCAGGCACTTAGGCACAGAGCACAGCGGCTGGACACGCTGTGCGATGGGAGATGAGTGCGACGACATGTGACAACTCATCAGACTAGGCACCATTGGGAACTGGAACTGGATTTGCTTTGCAGCAACTGCGTGTCTCTGTGTGAATTAGTGTCCAGCTGGACGAGTGTCCTTCCTGTGCAGGTGTCGCTGCTATTGTCATATTTTCCACTGTCCAAAGCCGTTCGTCCGTATGCGTGCGTGTGAGTGTGCTAATGGCTTTGGAAAATCAAAAGCGAGATTAGTCAATGGTGCCGCAATTGAGTGGCAGGACAGCAGAGACCAGAGCAGACCAAAGCTGGGCAACAGCGGGCCCAAAAGCCAGAACACGGACAGCATCACAGCTGCAATTGTGCGCATTGTTGTTGATTCTGTTCGTGTTGTTGTTGTTGTCGTTGTGAGACTGATTTTAAATTTGATGAAAATTCCAGCAACATGGCGTATGCGTAATATAATTTGGCAGCAGGCAGGCAAAAATCCGAGTTTAAGCTCAGCCAACAAAATAAAACTAGAAAAGAAATAAAAACTAACAACTGCTGCACAATTGCAGCACTCGCTGCACAGCGTGTGGGCGTGGCAGGCTTGGGGGGAAGGAGGATGGGGCCGCACACATATTTTTGATGCTGAAAAATATTTGCAAATAAATTGCCAAAGCCGAAAGCCATAGAGGGAGAGACGCAGAGAGCGATAGAACAGATCTAGAAGCCAGCACCGAAAAATGGCTAACAAACGTAGTTGGCCCGGCTGCCAGTGACGTAAATCTATTTCAGTTGAGGGATTTTTACATCAAACATGCCGGACAGTTTTGCATTGCAGCAGTTGCAGCAGCAGCAGCAGCAGTTGCAGCCGTTGCATGCTGTGGGTGTGCCCGTTCACAGTGCGTATGAGTAATCTTCTGTTTGAGCTGCCAACGGGGAGTTAGCAAATTTTTGTTGCCTTTTTTGTGTTTTTGATTAAAAATCGCAACTGTAAATTTATTTCATTTAATTTCTCACTGGCTGTGCTTTCGGGTTTATATATTTGTTTTTCTTATGGCTAACATGCCAACGTATTTGAATTTTAATTTGCTTTGGCAATAGATTGCCTCAACAAAAACAAAATCGAAAGAAAAAATGAAAAAAAGTCCCTCCCGCCCACATCGGGGCTGCCTAGTTTAGTTTTGGGCATATCGGGCGCGGCACGCTCGTATATCAAATTCAATTGTATTTGTTGTTCTTTTTACTGCATTCGGCTTCGTTTGAGTTACAGCGGTTAGTTGTAGCTGTTATTTTTGGTGAAGTGAACGACGGGCTTTTATTTAGTTATGCGGCGTTTGTCAGACTAAAAATCCAATAACGGGCATACAACTAAATGCGTCTGGGAATCGAATGGCCCTAACCAAAAGCACTTTCAACGATGAGGTGGTTAAGCTTTGTTGTTAGTCCGTTTACAAAAAGATATTAAATCATATCAAATATATAGCTGTGGCAAGGCTCTCCATATATCAATATTGAAACTATAAAATATATAAAGCTTAGGAAATTTTACTTTAAGAGCTGTGGCTTATTTTTATAGCAAGCTGAGCCGTTTCCTACAGTCTTTTAATTATATATATGAATTATGCATTACCAATTAGAGATGGGCAAGGGTTCAGTTGAAAACCAATCAAAAACTCATCAAATTGTTCAATAGCTGGCTTCATGGCTATAGTGGCCCATTTGCCTTCATATTATTACGCAGAAGTAGTTGCCCCAAGTTCTCTGTAAACTTAACAACTTGCTGTTAAACCGTGGCTCAGTATTTATGCATTATTTAATTATTAATGTCAATAAACTGGCAAGGCCCACCGGTGTGTTAGCAGCTGCAGGCACTTGCAAATAGGGGAAAATTGCCACACACACATACACACACACACACCCACACAGACAGCAGTTGGACATCAAATTGAGCATTTGGTTAGCGCGTTTGTAGCGCCATTCATTTCAGTCGCAGGCCTCGTGTCGCCTCGCTGATTTGCATGCGAGCCAAAGGAGCATTCTACACACACACACACACACATATATATATATATATATCTATATATATAGAGAGCGAGGCGTAACCTCAAAGTCGTCTGGCAGTCGTCGTCGTAGTCGTCGATGTTGTTGTCGCTGTCGTGTTATGTGTGACATTTGTTTGTTTAGACGGCACTCCTGGCGACAAATATAAATGTTAGTTACGCTTTGAGAGTTTTGCCTTGCCAAATTGCCTGTCAAGTCTCTCGCTCTCGCTCTCTCTTTGTCGACTGGCTGGTTATAAATATCGCAGGCCTCTTCGGGCCGCTTCAGAGCGTTTGCTGCATGCAATTTGTCTGCCACATGAATTTCAGCAGCGGAATGGTCGCATTTTTGCCAGTCATTTTTGCACTTCATTTGGCGCTTTGCAGTGTCGTCCGGCGATTCATTGACTGACGTCATGCCTCAAACTGTGGCAACTGCCAACTGGCAACTGGCAACTGGCAAGTGGCAAGTGGCAGCTGCTGGCTGGCAACTTTAACTGCTTAACGCTTACGGCTCTAATCGAATTGCCCAGCCCGTCAGACCCCCATGTGACTCAATGCCAAATAGTTGGCAATTTTTCTCTTGTCTTTTGTCTTTTGCCTCATACACACGCACACACTTACTCACCCACTCATACACACAGCAGCACCGCCCACGCAGACACCGCTGAGGGGTGAAAATTGCGTGTCTGGCCATTAAATTGGCAGCAGCGCCCAAGTCCAGACCC